AAATGTGCCCTATCTTGCAAAGAAAATGAAATCTGAAGTAACTCAATGACTTTCCAATGAATTTCTGCAATTCCGTGATTTTAAACTTTTCAAACCATACCCCACACAGTAATATGTATTTACATCACAGACCATTACATGTCATTTTCATTTATATATGTAACTAAAACAAAGGTTTCACAGACAATACTTACCCTTAATATTTGTGATGCGCTGATTTTCTAATGTCCTCAATTTTTAAATGCTAATCATGCCCCCCAAATTGATTTCTCTAGCCACTAGTGAATCACAACACCCACGATTTGAAAAACTGCATTAAAAAGTAATGTTTCAACCAATAAGTGTTTATATCACCATAAGTACCATTGCTTTCTATTATAGATATTTACTGATTCTTTTAGTAAAGTCATACAAAAAACAGTATGAAAATGTTTAATGAAAGAAAAGGATAGTATGACCAGTAGAATATTACAAAGGGAATAGAAAAGCCAAGACTAGACCAATAAAAAGATCATCAAATAGCTTTAAAAATTGGAAAGATCTGTGACAAGACCAATCAATTACTTATGTTCAGGGGTGCATAAGCACCATCTTTTTCAACAGTGTAGACACTCTTTCCATAGCTTTAAGTAAACTGCATATCTGTTAAGCAAAGTCCTTTATTTAGAAATAATATTCTAAAAATTAACACTCTCAACTGGGAAGGATAATATATCAACTCAAAAGTAGGATAAACCCTACCCAAACTGCAGGTATTTCTGGCTCCTGCTCACAGAACAGTCTCAGCCTTAAGAAAGATACCCAAATTTCCAAACAAATGTACAGAATTGTGACGTGAGGAAGGAAAATACAGAACATGCCAAAGGAAGATTGATGGATAAGGTAGAAACCTAGCAAAGGAATAGAAAAAAATGTAGTATGGTAAAATTAACTTTTGCTTGTTTTTGTTTTAGACTGGAGAATAACTTCAGATAAAGAGAAGCCAATAGAGCATTTTAAATCCACTGTACCTCAAATCATAATACCAGAGTCAATCATTTATTGGTGCTTCCCCAGAGTACTTCCTTTCAATGTCCTAGTGATTCTGGCATAGAAAATCTTAGATGATAGGGGTCTTCAGGTCAAAGGTACTGTAAGGCTAAAATATTACACATTCGGGGTGGGGGAGACCTCCTAACGGCCTTAAATTATCTCAGCCAGGCCAAAGCAGGGTTCAAGGTGAGAACTGTCAAAAATTAAAAATAAAAATAACACTTTCCTATTTCAAAGAGAGAGATTTTGGTTGAGCTGCAAGCTTAGGAATAACAAATCTGACCATGTTAGACATTCTTTTACATACATCCAAATGGCTGACAGACATTTCTTATTCTAACAATTCAGAGAAACACCTCGTATATAATTTACCAGCACTAATGGTTTCAATGGTTCTTAAGTAACTGTTACTTTCCATATACTCATCTCCTTTCCCATCTTATTCCTTCTTCTGACCTCAAACAGCCCAAGAATCTTTCATAAAGAAAAGAGAAAATACCTGAAGTGACATCAGTTGATGAGGGTAGGTACTCACTTTAAATAGAGTATTTCATTACAGAAACAGTTGACAAAATTAACTTTAAACTAGCAACCACAGTTCCTAACCTAGTACCCTACTATCTATCTCAGCAAGATTTTAAACATGTTTTTACTCATTTCATTCAGTTTTATGTAAACAAGTTATAACAAACTTACATTTCCACCACACAGTTTTGAAAAGGAATCCTGAAAAATCTCTTTAACTAACCTAATGGTACACAATAGCTATTTTTAAAGTAGTTTTTCCATCTTTTAAAGAACTGTGTACACTTTATGAAACACTTTAAAAGACTATTTAAAACCACAGTGGCTTTGGCCAAAGCAATCATGTTGTCCTGTATATCTCAAGCCTCTGCTGCAATAATGCATTTCCATATGCTCCCTATCTTCATACAGAAACAAAAGTCACAAATGTATCTTTAAAGTTCAATGGTCTTTCTTTCCAATTTCAAAAAGAACACCAAATGCTGCTTGAGCAAGCAAGCTATTATTTACTAGTCATTCCTTTCAACTGATGTTGGGGAAATCAGGGGTGTAGGGGTAAAGATAAAGAAAAGAGAGTATTTTCCTTATAAGCTTGAAAATATCCTCTTAATACTTTTCAAAAGTAAAAATGACAAAGCTGTGTAGATACAGACCACCAGAGATACAATAAATAATGATGGCCATAGAAAATAAAACTGCAAGAAGTCCAAAGAAACACAAAGACCATGGCTGAACTGTCTCCATGGATAGTTTTTTAAACTTTATATTTATTTAGGGACATGAGACAGTTCTTTGAATATTCTATGTGAGCTACCCGACTCAAAGGTGCCTGGTTTCTCCCAAAGCCACACTTTACTGAATTATAAGGGGCACCTAGCTCTATGCTGAGATGATATTAACCAGGACCCTGTGCTCCTCCTCCAAACCCCTGCCTCTTGTTTATAGAAAAGCTGAAGTCTCCCCATCCTCCCTGAGTCATAAACAAGCAAGCTTAAGCAGCTAATGATTGGGGCAATGGAGTCACAGACCCACTCTCTCATTCCTAAGTTGTTTTATGACCAGACCACTTTCTTAGCCTCCCCTTCAGTAACTGTTACGAAGGCAGTTGCCCCCAGGATCATACCCCTGGCCCCTCCATCGCAGAGAAACCAATTACTCTTGTCTAAGTCTCAGGAGGCAGTTGCAAAGAGAAGAAACAAGAACTGGTTAGAACCAACTAAGCCCAAGGTGGTGGCGGGGATGGGGTGGGGTGGGGTGGTAGTTTCCAGTGGACCTAGAGCCTTATTATCAGCTCGCTGTAATGTATCAGCATGCAAAATGACACATCCACCAGTGCCATGACAGCTGACAACTGCCATGACAACAACCAGAAAAGCCTATACAAGGACTGAAAGGCGCACATAAGAACTGATTGGCACTGTCACACTAGGACATGATGGCAGAAACATCCCATAAAAGTCCACATAGCCCATCCCAGACAGAGCTGTCTCAACCAGCCATCTTGGCTGATGGCTCCCCACTCTTTCCTTTTCCTCTTCTGAGCAATAAAGCAGCTGTTCACTTTGTCCCTCTGCCTCAGCTGCAAATTCTTTCGCAGCCAGGCAGCGAGGCCCCACCACAGTGGGCCTCCTAATTTAGGGGTCCCTCTAACCACTGACAGAGACAGATACACAGTTTAACACACAGTTTCCCTCACTGCTACTTCATCTTTACTATAAATATAAATAAACTCCATCAGTGAAGCAGCATTTCTTCGTATCTGTAATTGTAGGTATGTAGAGTAAGAAAAGCAGAATACATTCACTTAACATGGCAGAGATACTGTTAAAAGTTGGATAAAAAACAAATTTACCAGTATTTTTTTCCTTTTAAAAACCTAAAGTATTTAACAAATTCCAAACTTTTAACAGATACAAACTGCCAACTTCCCCAACCTTCCCAAATCCATCCCATCTATCCCCTAGTTTAGGCATAAACATGAAGGTCTAAAGCTTACACAATGATTATTTGCTTGTCCACATAGCATAATGAATAGAAGATAAAAACTGATAAAGATTTTCTCCTTGACCAAATTCTAGCAAGGCTCCTCTGAGCCCTCTTCTCAACTAGACTTCAACCTTGACCTATAAAAACCCTGACTCTCAACACAAATGACTTCGTACACTCATGTCCACCTACATTAAAAGATTTAAACAAATACTAACACACTTTTTAACAGCTCAAGGCCCCGTCTCTAGAATGACCTCTAGCCCCTCTTACAATGCTTGTCTAAGAAAGCTCAAAGTTGCCAAAAGAGTTTTAGGTTTGTTCTAGCCAACCCCTGACTATAGACCCCTGACCACTTTATCGTAGTGCATTTACTAAAAACGGTTTAAAATTGTGAATCCTTCCTTTGAGATGTAAATGTATCTCATATAACTCAGTTACTCAGGATTGTTTTTCTCAAGGATATGAAAGCCATTCCTTTAAGACGTAATCATCAGGAAGGACAGGCCTCAGTCTCTGCAGCAGGATAAAATCCTAACTTCAATAACTCAACTAATAGACACAGTCAGCCTAATCATCATTTACTGTGACCAACCATTTGTAATTTTTCTATTTTCCTGACTATAATGACCAAGCTAGCAACCCCTCTCTACTCCCTCATTCTGCCTTTAAAATGCCCAGTCTTCTCTGCACAAGTCCCCTCTTCCCTACCTGCAGCAGTGAATTACTGATTAAAATCTGACTTTACCACTTTAACTTGTGTCCAGATTTATCTTTGACAAAATGAATAGTGAAAGTTGAACATATCCCAGTTAGTAAAGACTTAGTTATTATATAAAATCATTAGTTGTGAAGTTCTTTAAAAACAAACAAATAAACAAAAAACTTGAGGGTTTTAACTTCATTCTGGGAATCACCCAATCAGCATTCAGCATTTAGGGGGGTGGAAAGGGCCAGCTGTCAAACATCAAGCCTAAATCCTCCATGTTACAAATGATGACTTCAATGCCCAAAGAGATTAAGTGACTTACCCAAAGTGATTTCAAGGAGGGACTGGATTAGAAAAGGCTAATTTAGCATTATACTCTTCCTGACTCTAATATGAAAATATTCATTCTCTTGTATTCACATTGGTAAAACCAACATTCACTAATGATCATTGAAGCCAAATCAGACAGTAACATATATTGCTCTACTAAAACACAAGTGTTACAATTCCACTATATGCCAGCAACTGTAAACTAAGGAAAGTCTGTTTGGTACAAGTATACATAAGATTTCATTTCACTCAGGAAACTGTTTCCTTGATGAGAAACTGCTTCTACACACAAGCCAAGAAATTAAAATCCCATGCATAAATCCAAAGGAGGGTAGAGAGTCTTCAAATGATTTAGATAGTCTTAAAAACAACCAAAAGAAAAATAAAAATAAATTAAAAACCCTTTATCTGCACTTACCAGCAAAGCATTTGGAACAGAGGTTCATAGTCTTGCTGGACCTGGGGCAAAAAAAAAGAAAGAAAAGAAAGAAGAGCTAAAAATTCAGTATCACTCTAATCAAAACATAAAATGTTTGAAACATAGGCAAAAAATTTCCCAGCCAGGGAACTGAATTAATAAACTAATAATAAGTCCCTAACCATCCATCCCTCCCCACAACAAAACAAAAACAAACAAAACAACAAAAATAAAACAATACTTGTTTGCTTATACGTTTGTTATCTGTGAGCTAGCCAATGCTTTATTTTTTGTGACTAGCAGCTTACGTAGGGGCAAGTTCAGAAAATACTGTAATATGCCCAGAAGAGAACAGAGGAGTCAATTTATCCTATGATTACCACATTCCTTCTGTTTACACTTAAACATTTACCACAAAGTTATCACTTAAAAAACGAGGAATTTTGTCTCTAAAAGGGTAAAACTTGCTCCTAAATTTACACACTCAATTACCTCTATAAGACCACTTGAACTTTTGTTTTCCTTCCCCTCATCCTAGTCCAATTTCAGATCCTGGTCACATTATGACCTTGCCTTTTAAAATTCTTTCTTTGTATGTTCCCAATCAAATGATTTCATGTCCTTTCATCTGTTAATAGCCACAATTCACTGAATACTAACTTGGATGGGCACTTAACATACCTTATCTTCATCTTCCCAACATCCCTGAGATTGGGTACTACCATATTGCTTTGTTTCTAAAATGCACTGTTTTAAAAATCACATTAACATTTCTATAGCTAGGAAACATCATACATTTGGCTACAGGTAATGGTGATGAATGATTTAATGAGGAAATGTTCCTACCACCTCTTCCAAGGTGTTATTAAACTGAGGGACCTTAGAAATCAGGGAAAAACAGCCTCATCCCATTTAACAGGTGAGCAGCTTGTCCATGGTCACACAGCTGGGGAACTAACTGCACAGGAAGTATCTGACCTAAGGTCTGAGCCAACTTCAAAAGCCATCCTAACCAACTCCAAAAACCTCCTAGAATACTCTTGTTTGGCTGAGCTATCTACAGCCTCATTGCTCAGCAACTCCCCTCCCAATATCTGAGTCTTTGCCCAGAGCCCCTCCTACACATGGAATAAGGCAACTATCTCCTGCCCTTAGCAAATTGTACAATTATGAAAGCCTCCCTCAGGAAGTATTCCTTGATGACTATGATTGTTTTCTAACGTACTGGGACCCAAGATCTAACTGTTAGTAACTGTCATAGGGTAACAAAATGAGGAGCTGGAGGAGAAGAGAGTAGGTGGGAAGGGGTCACTATTTCTCTTTCCCAAAAGAGATGCTATGTTAACAGGTGAATCTTTCTTCAGGACTTTTTAATATAAAAACATCAAAGGCAGTAAGGAAATGTACGTATCAACAAAATGAATAAACAGACAAAAAGATGATTAACAGTGGCATCTAACATTTATTACACGCTTATTACGTGGTAAGCATAATACCAGATGGCTTCAACCCCATTTTACCAATGAGGAAACAGGAAACAGAGGCTCCAAGAGGATTCGTAACTTGCCAAGGTTACAGAACTAGTATGTAGACGAACCTGGTCTAATTCCGAAGCCCGTATTCTTTTCACCATGCCAAACTAGGGCCTTTGCCCCCAGTACAGCGGCTGAGGGAAACACAGTCTGGTGGTTTGGGAGAATAGACCCACAACTAAAGATTTAATATATGGTAAGCCAGTCAACTCCCTGAGAAAATAAAACCTTTCATCTGGAGGAAGCAAGCATAACCCCTGCCCTCCCCTCCAAATACACATACACATACAAAGGGAAGCAACCCAAGGCTGCCAGTCAATTTAGTTCCAACTCAAGGAAGAACTGGGGGTAAAGGAATTCCTTTGTTGCCAGAACTCCCCCCAACGGAGTTCCTCTTCCTGACAAAGCTGGTAAAAAAAAAAAAATTGGGAAAACAGCCATTTTTTCTGCAAGCCCTTATCTCTCTTCAGATGGCTGATGTATTTAAAATACCCTCTATACCTATATATTAACTAACTGACATCCATTCTACTTCCTGAGTAGGAATTTTTCAGCAACACAGTTATCAACCAGGTTATGAAAGAAATAATACAGCTACTGGTATTATTAATCAAAACAGAAATGTACGAAATCTGAAAGAAACTAGATTTTGGCTACAGATATAATAGCTACTGGTTTTGCCAATTTGGATCACACAGCAACACTGAATTTGAAAAAACTGGCAGCGGCTTCTGAGAACTTTGCTCCTTTCTCATGTTCAACATGTAAAACTCGAAGCTAACCACAGGCATGCAACTACTGATTGCCCAATATAACACAGGGTGATCAATTTGCACAGTTTTAGGATGAACAACAGAGTTCTCTATGTGGCAGCAAGCATAAAAGGTAAATATGATTCTCTTATGTCCCCACTACTCCAAAGAAATTGCTCTTACTGAGAACTCCAATGGTCACCATGTTTCTAAAACCAACGTTTAGTAGGTTGATTAATGGCGATCCAAAGGTACCAAATCCTAATCCCTGGAATTCGTAATCCCTGGAGTTTACCATATTTGGGGGGAAAGTTCTTTGCAGATGAATGAAGCTAAACATTTTGAGCTAACTCTGTATTATCAAGGTGGGCCCTACATGGCATTACAAATGTTTTTGGAGAGACACATAGAGGAGAAGGCAATGTGAAGATGGAGGTAGAGCCTGGAGGAATGTGGTCACAAATTCAGGAATGCTGAAGCAGCCACCAGAAGTGGGAAGAGCAAGAAATGAAATTTTCCCTAGAGCCCCCTGGAGGAAAGGCAGTTCTGCCAGATTTTGGACTTCTAGGCTCCAGAAACTTAAGAGAATACGTTTCTGTTGTATTAAGCTATCAAATTTGCGGTAATTTGTTACATCCCAGAAAACTGATACACAGGGTTATGACTCTGATCTCATTTTACTCTCTCAGCACGTCTCAGCAAGATCCTTCCTTCTTGAAACTCTACTTTTGCCTTCTTGTCACTCAGGTCCTAGATCAAATCTATCCACTACCTCCACCCCATTTTCCTCCCACATAACTGCTCCCTCTTAAGTCACCTTTGCTAGCTCCTCCTCCACCATCAAGACATTTATCCAGAGGTCTAAGGACTCAGTCCTTATTATCCCTACTTCCAAATTAGTGATCTCACAGAGTCCAATGGCTTTGAATACATTACCTATGCACTAAAGATTCACAAATGTTTACCTTCATCCCAAACTTCTTCATCTTGCTGCAAACTCATATATCTAACTGCCTGTTTGACATCTTAATATGCAACTCAGACTCAACATTTCAAACTAGAACACTCAATACTCCCACAAAATTTGCCTGATCCATTTTGTTCACCTTTGTAAAGGGCAACACCTTCTTCCCAGTTGCTGAAGGTAAAATCCAAGAAACCAACTTTGATTTCCCTCTTTCCTGCAGTCTTTCATACACAATACTCAGCAAGATCCAATGGCTCTATTTCTAAATAGAACTAAATCTATCTACTTCTGTCCTTTGCCAGTGCTTCTACTCTGGCCACCATGCTCTCACCTGGACCACTAAGTGACTTTTTACTGGTCTCCAGATTCCTACTCTTCACCTTTGACAATGATGTTCCACATAGCAGCAAGAGCAATCTTTTTTTAAAACAAGTTAGATCTTACTATTTTCTTTCTTAATGTCATCCAATAATTTCCTATCGTACTTTAGTATAAAATTCAAACTTCTTACCAGAGCCTTGAGGCCTCTTCGTGATCTGTCTCCGCCTCCCTCTCCTCTTCCTTTCTTACCATTTTGTTCCTCTCACTTACCACATTTAAACCATACTAGGTTTTTCATCTGTTTCTAGAATATACTTTAGAACTCTTGCCCGTGCTGTTTCCTCTACACTTAAATCACTGTAGGACTGGCTTTTTCTTGCCACTCAGGTCCTGGTTAAAACCTCCTCAGTAGGCTTCACCTGACTATCCAATTTAAATTAGATCTCTTTCTGTTTTCTTTTCTTCATAACACATCATTCTTTGGTATCGCACCACGACCTGTTTGCTTGTTGACTACCTTCCAACACTAGAATGTAAGTGTTGTAAGAGCAAAGATCCTCTTGGACACCCCTGTTTGGTACTTAACAGGCATCCAGTAAATACTTGTTAAATGAAGAAATAAATCTTCTCTCGAAGGCATGAACTATGAAAAATCTAAGTAATTTTTTTAAATGTATTTTGTAAAGGTCATTCAAAAACCTCCTGGAAGACAGGGCATCCACAATCCTATACCTGTCAGCCTGTCATCTCTCAGGAGGTCTGTCACACTATATTGCCTATAAATGGTAGATCATGCCACCCTGTGTACCTGGCCATGATTTGTCACTCAACAGATAACAGGTGGCAGACACTTTCAAAGGTTTCTTTCCAGTAAGATGGAGCTGCAAAGAAACCAATTTAAATTTTTTTCTTCTTTCAATAAATAATGCTTAAAGATATTTTCTGGGTTTGAAAATACATGTCATTTGTACAGAATTTAGTCAAAGTACAGAAGCATTTAAGCAAAAACCAAGAATCACTGATAATCTTACCCCCAAACATAAGAATTGTTAACATTCTGAAATAATTCCTTTGTATCTTTATGGATAGATATACCTAATTAAGAATTTATTATATTTAACAGTACTGGTAAAGCTCTGTGGTATAGTCACAGGTTTGCTTTATAACATATACACATATTTTCTTTTGTATATATCAAATAACTCACAAAGAAATCTATAATAATATGTAAATTTCCTTTTTTCGCTGCATATTTACATATAATGATACTTCCGACATCATTAAATACTCTTCTAAAACATCCTTGTTGCTCTGTAATTGTCCATTTACATACTAATATTACAATTTATTCAGTCACTCTCTTACTGTTGGATGTTTAATCTTTTTTCCAGATTCTTTCTATTATAATTATTGCTATAATGAGCATTTTTAGACATATATCTTTGGTCATAAATCTCTGGCTGAATAACTTCTTTAAGACTGACTCTGAAAAGGAGA